AAACATGCTTAAAATGAACAACAAAACTCAGCCCTGCCAAGACTGCACAGCAACTGGCCAGACTGGGAAGTGCCGACAGCTTTGGTGAACAGTTCGGCAGGAGTTTTCTGTCTGTTTGTTTGTTTGGGTTTTTTTTTTTATTGTTTGGGTGGTTGGTTGGTTTTGGGGAATCAAACGAGGGGCCAGTTAGATGGCTCAGAGGGTAAAGGTGCTTACTGCCAACCCTGACAACCTGAGTATAATCCCTGGGACACCATAGTGGAAAGAGAACCCAGTCCCCTAAACTGTCTTCTGACCTCTGCACGCATGCTGAGGCACAAACATGCCCCTTCCCACCAATAAATGAACAAATGTAATAAAGTTAAAAAAACAAAAAACATGGCTTCTGGAGCTGGCGAGATGGCTCAGCACTTAAGAGCACTGGCTGTTCTTGTAGAGGACCTGTGTTCAGTTCCCATCACACATGGTAGCTCACAACTGTCTATAACTCCAGTTCTAGGGAATTTTATGCCTTCATAGGCCTCTGCAGGCATTGCCGACATGTGGTGCACATACACATGTGTAGGCAAACACTCATACACATAAAATAAAAATAAATACTTTTGAAAAACAGGACATCAGCCGGGCGTGGTGGCACATGCCTTTAATCCCAGCACTCCAGAGACAGAGGCAGGTGGATCTCTGTGAGTTCAAGGCCAGCCTGGTCTACAGAGTGAGTTCCAGGACAGCTGGGGCTATAGGGAGACCCTGTCTCAAAAAGACCAAAGGGAAAAAAAAAAAAAAAACAAGGACATCACACCAAGTGAACAGGTCCTCTATCACCAAACTATACTATCACCTCTTAGTTTATTGAGACAGGGTCTCATTATGTAGCTGAGGCTGGCCTCAAACATAATTTTCCTGCATCAGCTTTTGAAGCACTGGGATTTCAGATATGTCACTAAACCCAGTGGTAATTTCTTTCAAGGTTAAATACAAACCCACCCCATGACCCAGCCACTCAGCTCCCAGGCATTTGCCCAGGAGAATGAAAACACATATCCACACAGTCTTGTGCCTTGCTGATCATAGTACAATTTACTATAGCCAAATGGCCTAAATGTCCATCCCCAAGAGAATGGACAGGTGAACCATGATGCCTTCATAGAACATGAGCAATGAACAGGAGCTGCTGGTCCAGGCCACAGTGTAGATGGATTGGCAGATCTTTCACAAGAGAAAGAAGCCAGATGCAAGTAAGTTCCTGTTGGGGAACCCTGCTGCTAGGGTTGTAGTCTTTCATGTCTGGATAGCTCTAAGGCGCCAAGTGGAAGGACTCCCCTTCTCAGCAGGGGGCCTCCTGCTCTCTTCCTGACTTACCTGGAAAGTGCCACCAAGCTCAGATGCCTGACCTTATTTGGAACATGACCTTTGGCATAGTTACCTGGAGTAAAAACTACCCCCAGGTTTTTTCTATATGATAATCAGGCATTGCCTGGTAGTTGGAGGATAGGAGCCCACTGCCACATGTAAATAAAGCACACTATGAGCACCTATCAGC